TGTATAATTTTAATTTGTGCATTATCACTGCAACTCACCTCGCATCGACCACATCTCTGTCTTCTTGTGGGAAGCTCTGTCTTTTCATTGTCAAGTTCATCGCGGAAGAACGATTCAAAGATATTCCTGACAGTGACCGTGGTGGTTGCTTTGGTATGTTTCGGAACATCTTTCTTAGTGACTTTCTTTATTGCTTTTCTTGCAGCCCGCCTACAATAAAAAGAATTCAGAATATGTAAAAGCACCGAATACTCCTTGTCTGTACCTGTATTAAGTAGAAAATGTAAGAATATTTGTACCTGATACCCAGAGTGACTCCAGACAATTTAATCAGATCTCGAACACAGATTGTTGTTAGTAAAGAAAATTCATCGTCATCCCCAGCTTCATCATAACTTTCGATCTGAAAACAAGATATTGGTAATTTAGACCAGCAATAAGTTCTTTGGGTTTACATAGAAAACTATTTAACCTTTACACCACCAGACTCTCAAATTCTTCTGCACTTTCTTCTTGTATTATGAAAATGAACCCTAAAACTTTGGAGCCAACAAAAAAAAATTAATCAATTTTCAGTTTTTACTCACAAAATTTGGCTATTTTGGTCCCAACCTTCTCATGGAAAGTGCTGACTATAAACAGGACTTTTTTGTTAATTTGTGGTGAAAAAAAAAGAACTGGTGGTGAAAAGTTTCAATTTTATACTTGGATAGATTCTTGTGAAAAGTAGCTCTGTTAATTAATGGAAGTTAATTTGCTTGAATGTAATTCTGAAATGTTGGAATTTACTCAAAGGTGAATCATCTTTTACAGCAACATGCAGTAGTCCCCTTTCAACCAATTTTTGTTGTACGTGTTACCCCCTAACAAATTTCACAACTTTATTTTATGTACCAATTTCAATGGAAAAATGCAATTTTTTGTGAAAGTTTCAAAGCCCTCTAAATAAGAGTTACTGATTAACTGAATGTTCTGATTTTGTTAAGGTGCACCAGAAAAAACCATTTGCTTCTGAACTAGTCACATTATAGGCAGAGCAAATATTGCTAACACTGACAAATGTTTATAGTTTACTTAGTGTATATAAAAAATAACAATTCAGTCATTCTTACCTGCTCAACTACAAACTGTGCATGTCTTAAAAATGTATCCTCTGTATAAGATGCACATCCCGAAGGTGGCACAGTTACCTAGCGAAAAATATACATTTGTTTTAATTTAAGACATCACTTGTACTTTCACATGGCTTGAAAACAAAACTATTAACACCAGGATGAAATTGAGCACTACTCACTATTAAATTCATGTACATGCTAAAAGAATGATTATATGACAAAATAATAAATTGTTGCCTATCATAAACAAGCAGCCAGTCGGCTGAGATAGTTCCGCTGTTAGCAATGCACATTTCAATTAAAGAACAGAAGATATCATTAGAAAATGAACAATATGTATAGTACATTGTATCAAAGCAACGGACCTTGCTGTTTTCAACAAAAATATCACTTTTTCACCAAAAATGACAAAAATAATCATCAAAATTAAGTAATTGAAGATATCAGCACGAAATTAACAAGGTCCACATGTAATACACATATATGTAATATAAAAGCAATCAGACTTGCGGTTTTTAACAAGTCGAAAATATCACTTTTTACCCAAAAATGACAAAAATATTCACCAAAATTAGAGAATTAAAGATATCATTACAAAATGAACAAGGTCTACCCAAGGTACATATACACCAAGTATCAAAGCATTCAGGCTTGTAGTTTTCAAGAAGAAGTCGAAAAAGTAAAACATTGACACGGACGACGACGGACAATCACTCATATGATAAGCTCCGCTCGACAAAGTCGACAGCGGAGCTAAAAATATAACTACGACCCAACTAATACTACTCCCTCTGTACATCTCGCATTATTTCAGCGTTAATTGATGAAATAATAAAGGACATCATATTATTTATTATGTTATAGTTGTGTCAGTTTGATTGTTTATTGGATTAAAAAGTTAAACAACAAAATAAACGTGGCACACATTAAGAAATTAAGATTAAGAAATAAGCATTACAATTTTAGTGGAACTTGTATCAAACACGACAACATGTGTCATTTCAAATTTTAGTGCAACATTTTTCACATTTTCCTTTTTTTTCAATTTTGAATAATTGGAAAAAAATCTCCAGATTTATTTTCTGAAATGGGTGTGGAAAATATGCTTGTTTCTGACCTGTATTTTGTTCATAAGATCTTCATATGTTGAGAATTGGTTATTCTGCAGATACTCTATTACTATTTTACTCATGTGAATCTTTTCTTTCATAGAGTTGTATATAGGTGCATAACATTCACTTGGAGTCATCAGGATATATTCTGCAAATGCTGTATGCAAATAATAATAATTGTGATCATTTAACAAAAATGAAATAAAACAAGCAGCCTGTTGGCTGAGATAGCTCCGCTGTTAGCAATGCACATGGCAATTTAAGAACAGAAGATATCATTAGAAAATGAACAAATCTGAGAGAGGTCCACATGTAGTACCTATATGTATAATATATCAAAGCAATTGGACTTGCGGTTTTCAACAAGAAGTCGAAAATATCACTTTACCAAAAATTACAAAAATATTCATCAAAATTAGAGAATTATTAAAAGATATCATCATGAAATGAACAAATCTGAGAGAGGTCCACATGTAGTACCTAT